CGGCAGTGGCTCCAGAGCACATCCTTTATTTCGGCAATAATCACAGGCGCCTACAGATACCCTTCGTGATTAACATCCAGTGCATAGAATGGCCCCTTTGATAGCGCTCGCAACTGTCAAGGGACTATTTAGTCTCAAAGATCTGATGGCTTCTTCACGACCCGGTGGAACAATAAGTTGTTAACCAGATGTTGGGCAGACATGGTTCTTTTCCTGGCCATAAATCGTGGGTCAATCGGCTTCGTCAAGTGAAGCTCTTCTATCGTTATTGTCATTTGAAAAAATGAGGGGGGGGCTAGAAAAAAATGTTACAGGGAACAGCTGGCGCACCACCATGGAGATTAAAGGGGGAGATTAAAGGGACAGTCACAGGTAATAGCGAGAATATCTCTGTAAACGAACGGACGAACGGTTCTCGAGTTGGAGGGTATCACGTTACCTCTAGTTGCACTGAAACCAGCATAAAACACGGTTCATTTAAACATCATTCAACAAGCATGGCCGATCAAATGATTGGCTAGTACTGAACTATTGACCCCTCCCTCATGATCCTCCGTCATGGTAGAGGTGGATTGGCTTCAGAAGCCCGTATCTCTCGTACGCAACATTAGGTACGTTTGGAACCAGAAGGAGAGCTTTTAGCTCGCGATGCCAGCTGAGCAGTCTTTTGGCAACAGCGATGAAAAGCCCCCATCAAATCAGTGCGAAAAATAGACAATTTGAAATACTCAATTCTTTTTAATAATAGGAAATGATATGATGTCGTCTGTATTTTTTTGAAATGAAATTTACTTCATTGGACCAGTTCAAGCCATTGTCTATACATAATCCTGAAGCATGTTGAAGCGGTGTCTTTTCGATTTTGATAGATGTATTTGTCAAACAGAGAAGGTCTTCAGACAGCACTATTAATGGTCAATGCCAAATTAGCGCAGTTATCCCGAATTATGTTGAGATTTCTTTGTCAGCCATTTTTAAGCCTCATCTAGCGTGTCTTGAAACAGTCTTCCTCAGCCACCAAGACTTTCTCCCACAATTATGCTCGCTGAGCTTTGTACATGCTGTCACATTAATAAGTAAACCATTGTAACTAAAAAATTACGAACATTATCTTAATGTGCATGCGTGTGTACTTGTTTATTCCTTTCAGATTCGAGACCTTGTGTCACTGTCTAACAAGGATCGAGAATATTTTCAAAAGACAATGGATTCCGTATTGATTACCTGCAAGGACTTGAATCTACCCCCGTATCTTCAAGAAAAAGTCAGATATTGGTTCATTCATTCTTGGAATGAAAACAAGATGATAAGTAAGTGAATATAATTTTACGATGTAACGAACATGTTAGGGTTTGCTCAGTTTATTAATAATTTGCTCATATTACTGCGCAGTAACACAAGTTACGGGAAGAAAAGTTAGTCTTTATGTTCATACCGTTCAGCAGCAATGGCATATCAAAGCAACTGCGCTAAGTAGCCTATCTAAATTTAAAGTAATAATTGTTTATTTTGCAACTCACAAATTGATTGCAATAACGATAGGAATAAAAGAGGCTCATTACGCAAAATTCGAAAGAGTGAGCCTTTAACGAAATCAAGCACAGGAAATATTTTCGCCTGTTCAAATCGCTTTCTGCCATTCAAGACAGTCGACTATCACGTACACAAAGGGTTCTAGCACATAGCTAATTAGCTCGCTTCAATCGTTTTCCTGAAGAAGGTGGCTTCGCCTTTAATTAATTAAAGCTTCTGTAGTTTGATATAACCTGAAAATCCAATAACTGAATTTACTGTTTAAATGGAGTTACCAATGAATCCCATTTGTCAATACAACAGAAGCGAAACAAATCTTGAATGGCACAAAATGCAGTGAGAGGAGAAAATTGAATTGATTAAGTGTGAAGAAGAGCATCAAAACGAACTGTTACAGCCAAATAAATAAGCCACACAGCTGAACTGCAGACGAACTGTCCTTCTCTTTGATTTGCATTCGTCAGCAGACGAGGCTCATACGCAAGTCGACATTCGGCCACTCATTTCGCTGTTGTGACCTTTGTTTACACTGTTGACCAATCAGCTTGGTCATTGGGCTGTTCAAAAGTGTTGGTTGACGACCGAT